TGGAGGGTCAGCTATGCTTTGAGGCTGACTCAATGGCACACAACAACTCTAATGTCATTGTTTTGTTTTTTTGATGTTGAGGCGCATCCATAATTGAAGGCTCCAGTGTTTGACCTTCTGCAGCAAGTATTTCACGTCCTCTTCACTTTTAGCAAGCAAGGTTGTGTCAACTGCATACTGAGGGTTATTAATGAATCTTCCTCCAATCCTGATGCCACACTCCTCTTCATAGAGTCCAGCTTCTTCAATAATTTGCTCAGCATACAGATTGAATAGGTATGGAGAAAGGATACTACCCTGATACATACCTTTCTTAATTTTAAACCATGTAGTGTTCCCTTGCTCTGCTCCCACAACAGCTTCTTGGTCTAGGTACAGGTTTCGCATGAGCACAATTAAGTGCTCTGGGATTCCAATTCTTCTGTGCTGCCCATAATTTGCAATGATCCACAGGGTCAAATGCCTTTGCATAGTCAATAAAGTACAAACAGACATTCTTCTGGTGTTCTCTGGTCTCAGCCAGGATCCATATGACATCAGCAGTGATATCCCCGGTTTCATGATTTCTTCTGAACCCAGATGGAATTTCTAGCAGTTCCCTGTCTATGTACAGTTCTATATGTCTTTGAATGAACTTCAGCAGTATTTTGCTTGTATGTGTTATTAACGATATTGTTCGATAGTTTCCACATTTTATTGGATCATCTTTTTTTGGAAATGGGAACAAATATGGATTTCTTCCAGTTGCTCTGCCAGGCAGTTTTCTCCAAATTTCCTGGCCATAGACTGAAAGTGCATCCACCACTAGACCAACAGATGATATCATGATACCTGGAGAAAAGATTGAAGCTGTAAATGGCTGCATCTTACTTGGCTCTACTATTGCTGTGCAAAAGTCTACAGTCAGGGACCTCTCCAAGTTACTGAAGAGCAATGATATCAGTTTGAGGACTAAGGTGTACTTGATTCAGACCATGATATTTCCAATCACTTGCTATGCATTTGAGAGCTGGACAGTGAATAAGGATGACAGAAGAAAATTTGATGCCTTTGAACTATGGTGTTGCAGGAGACTACTGAATTTCCCATGGATTGTCAAAAGAATATATGACTTGCAGTGGGTGAAGCCAGATTGCTCTTTGGAAGGAAGGATGATGAAGCTTTGTCTTGAATAGTTTGGCCATATTACTAGGAGAGGCTGTTCTCTGGGGAGAGATATCATGCTTTGCAGGCTGGAGGGTCAGTGGAGCAGAGGAAGGCCCTCATTAAGGTGAACTGACACGGTGACTGTGAGGCTGCCACAAGATAGGACAGGGTTAAGATCTGTTTATAGGGTCGCTATGAGTCGTACTTGACTCAATAGCTTCTAACAAAAATAATGTAATAATTATAATGTAAGCTCTTCAAGAAATCAAGAATTATTGTTAATATGACATCAACACCAATTCTTGTGTACAGTAGAAGTTCAACATATAATAGAAGCTTCAAATTGGATTAGAAATCCTTAAAAAGAAAATTAATTTCCTGGAATTATTTTGACAGATCTTTTTTAAGAAATGTATCTTAATTATAAGTTTAGAAGTCATAACAAGATCATGATGTAAGGAAAAATTCTAAATATAGATAGATAGATAGATAGATAGATAGATAGATAGATAGATATACATAAATACAAGTAGTTTTTATGTACCATCACATTGGAACCAACTCAGAACTCATCTTCCAGTGGGTTTTCAGTTTTCTGAGATGTAAAATTGACTCAGACAGTTCTCTGGTGAATTACTCAATGTATATCTTCAGTAGTGTATGCTTCCTTGCCTGGCATCTTAATATTATTCTTTAGACTTTGGTAATCTTTATTTTATTATTTGACACAAGCTGAAAACATGGATTTGGGTGTCTAGGGCATACAAATAGTGTTAAAAGTGATGAGATTGTATGAATCACGCGAGATCTATGGACTGAAAACCAGTGTAGTCTAACCTTAGAAGAAGAGGAGTATGTAGAAGAGACTGAAATAATGGCTAGAATGCACAAGGGAAGTGGAGAGAATGTCCTGGAAGCCAGTGAAGAGCTGTGTCAAAGAAGAGAAAATGATCATTTGTGTCCGGTGCTGCCTAGTATGCTTGTATGATTTTGATGCTAACAGCCACAAAATAGTTTTGAGTTGTTGTAGTGTAACGTCAAGTCAGAACTGACCCATTGCTGACCCTCTCACAGGTTTGTAGAGGCAGAAAATAAAACAGTAAGAGATTGTCCACCCTTCTGTCTTGGAGCAGCTGGTGGATTGAACCACATGCCTCTGGGATTGCTGTGTAGCTTCTTGCCACTAGGCCACCAGAGTTCTCCTTTCTGTGAATGTACTTTCTGTGAAATTTTGTGAATTGGTGGAGTGTTGAAATAACAAATCAAGAGCAAAGGTGGCAGCACTGACCTATACTAAGAGGTAGTAGCTCTGGTAGCACAGTGGATAGGGAGTTGCACTAGTAGCCCATTCATTTTTGTCTCTCTGGCAGTTCAAGTCCACCAGTGACTCCTCTGCAGTTTCTAGCTTTGGAAGCCCAACAGAGAGTCTACTCTGAATTGGTTCAAGCTCAATGGCAATAAGTTTTTTAGTGTACTACTCAGAGCCCCAGTAAGTCACACACTGTCAGAAAGGCTGACACACAAAGGAGTGCACCACTGGGTCATTCATAAAACCACTAAATTGTAACAGACACAACTGGAAATTCTGCATTTTAGTTTCTAGTTCCAATAGATGATTTTGAAAATTAGACTGCTTGTTCAGACACCTTGAAATAATTTCATGTAATATAATGCATTTATTACATATGGATAAACTGAAGTTTAAACATACGTGAGTTTGTCCTAAGAAACAATGCTTTGGATTTCCAGATTACATCTCCTATTTTATCCAATCAGCATTGTGTTTTTTCCCCCTATGAAATGTTCTCCCATCTACACATGCCTTCAGAGACTCTGTTCAGAAGAACAGATTTAAAGTATCCTTTACAAATGAACACGAATGACATTCTGTTAAAAGGATGAACAGCTGGTCATGTAGAAATTCTCTGGAATGCTCACTTGTCCTACAAAGGCGGATAAACAAATGAAACGTTAGGTGTCCTGTTTGCCAGTGGTAAGAGAAACAGCAGTCATTTTAAATGTAATTTTATTTAAAAACGCCACACCATTTTAATAACTGCCTTACTTCTGAAAAGGCTGCTCACCATTAACAATGTGAAGATTTTCAGCATCTCACTATCGTTCAGTGGAAGTGGTAAGTCTTTAGGAAAAGCCACCCTGCTAGCAAGGTGTAGGATCAGCGAAAGAGAAAAACTCTAAGAGATGCTTGGGCTCATTGTGACAGTCGCTGTGTCAATTCATCTCTTTTGGTGAGGATGGCGCTGGATAGGCCTGGTTCCTAGTATAAGGAATTTAGTATATACATATGTTCTTAGGGTCGTTAAGCATTGTAGTTGACTTGACAGCACCTGACAACGATAATAAGTATTGTGCTAGGCACTTTGGTGGTGGTGCAGTGCCTACCTTATTGCTCCACTAACCAAAACGCTGCATGCTGTCTGGACGGTTAGAAGCCACAAAGTTCTCCACGGGAGAAAGATAGGTTAACTCCGCTCCGTTAACATTTATTGCCTAAAAAAACCGGGAAGGGGACCTTGTGAGTAACAATCTACTTACAGCAATGAGTATGAGTTTTTGCCCTTATAAAGATTGTGTGGGGAATTTCCCATTTGCTAAGGCATTGATCCTTAGATTAAGAGTCAAGACACCTCAGGGAGAGGACGCTCCTGGAACTAGAGAGGTCTCTCCCCAGCAAAAGCCCAGGCAGGGGCAGGGACTAAATCCAACAGAGGCGACTCACTCTGCGGTCCCCGCGTGTAAAAGTTATCCTTTGTTCTCCATAACCTTCAGGATTAAGTTCTCAGTGCTTTGCATGACACACAGGCCTTTCAGGATTCTTTCTCACCTCTTCAAGTTCATCTCTGACTTCCTCTTCCTTTCTTCTTTGTTCCTGTTACACAAACTAGATGAGTTAAGCTCTCCCTCCTTCCTCCTTGTGTACAAGCTGCAAGCAGCCTTTCCTCTTGGGCAACTCTGAGGCGCTTAGGTTATTTTTCTTTAGTTGGTCGGTCTTCTCTGTTTACTTACTGGATGAATAAGCCTCTTTGGTTTGTAAAGTAAGGGAGCCACAAACGTTGAGACCTGACATTTGGAGGGTGCCAAGCTGTGTCTTAATGAACCGAGTTCCTCACCATCCGGAGGTTCAGTTTGTAATGAGAAAATTGAGTTAACATTAGAGATGCTACAGGCAGCATGGCTGGATCAAGAAGGCAGCTTGGAGATCGTGTGTCCAGGGTCGAGAAGATCCGTTAGGGTTTGCACTCCGGGGTTGAAGCACGCTTATGTGTAGTGAACCTACTATTCTCCACCCATTTCCAAACAGGACAGGCAGCAGCGCTATTATTTTAATTTCACAATCGTTTTGGAGCCAGAAGAGCTAGTTAATGACCGTGAACAAAAGTGCATGTAAGACAGGGGTCCTCACGGCCTTTGTGCACTAAGGCGTCTACGCAGGCGTCCCGGGGCTCCTTCCGCAGGGCCGTGCGGCACGGTCGGGCCGGGCCACCGGCTCTGCGGGGCCTCGGAGCCCGGCGCCAAACCCCAGGGCCGGATCCGCGGCGGCCCCCCTCGCCGCCCCCACCGCAGCCTCGGCCTCACTTTCGAAGCCGGTGTGCAGAGCGCCCCCGCGGGCCAGGAAAGAGGCGGGACGGCGGCGATGGCCCCTCAGCGCCCTCTGGGCGTCGGGATTCGTCGCCAGGCTCCTGGCGGAGGCCCAGGGAGAAGAAGAGGAGTTTCCGGGCTCGAGTCCTCAGCAGGCCGGCCCAGAGTAGAGCGCGGAAGCGAGTGGGCGGTGGGAGGCGGAGCGAGAGACGCGGGGGGCGTGGACGCGAGCTCTTTGGAAAGGCCCCAAGTTAATGAGGCGTGCGCCGGCCGCCGAGCGCTTCTCGGAGCTGGGCTTCCCCCCGCGCTGCGGGCGCCAGGAGCCGCCTTTTCCGCTGGGTGTCACTCGGGGGTGGGGGAGATGGCCCATTCAAAAGCGCCGCGAGGGGGCCCGGCCAGTGCCCTTCAGTGAGCGCTCGCAAGAGGACGGCAGAGGCCCTGCGACTCGCAGCTCCGGGACCTGGTGGCGCATCAGGACGCGGCTGTCCCTCTGTTCGGACCCCGAACCGCCTCCGCCGGCGCCGTCGCCGCTCTGCCTCTTGCGCGTCAGCTTCTTCTGCGCACTCCGGGAGGGCGGCCGCGGCAGCCGCTGGGGCGAGGACGGCGCGCGGCTGCTGCTGCTGCCCCCGGCCCGCGCGGCGGGAAGCGGAGAGGCCGAGCCAAGCGGCGGTCCCCCCTATGCCAGGAGGATGCTGGAGAGCAGCGGCTGCAAGGCGGTGAAGGAGGGCGTGCTGGAGAAGCGCAGCGACGGCTTGCTGCAGCTCTGGAAGAAAAAGTGCTGCATCCTCACTGAGGAGGGACTGCTGCTCATCCCGCCCAAGCAGCTGCAACACCAGCCACAGCCCGGACAGGGACCGGGGCCGGCCGAGCCGTCCCAACCCGGCGGCCCCGCTGTCGCTGGCCTCGAGCCGCCGGTCAAGCTCAAGGAATTGCACTTTTCCAACATGAAGACGGTGGACTGCGTGGAGCGCAAGGGGAAGTACATGTACTTCACGGTGGTGATGGCAGAGGGCAAGGAGATCGACTTTCGGTGCCCGCAGGACCAGGGCTGGAACGCCGAGATCACGCTGCAGATGGTGCAGTACAAGAACCGTCAGGCCATCCTGGCGGTCAAGTCCACGCGGCAGAAACAGCAGCACCTGGTTCAGCAGCAGACCCGGCCGCCGCAGCTCCAGCCTCCAGCCCAAGTCCAGCCTCAGCTCCAACCCCAGCCTCAACCGCAACCTCAGCCTCAGCTCCAGCTCCAGCCCCAACCCCAGCCTCAGCCCCAGCCGCTCCAGCAGCTCCACCCGTATGCGCACCCGCACCCACATCCGCACCCACAACCGCATCCGCACCCACTACCCCACTCGCAGTCATCGCACGGCCACCGGCTTCTCCGCAGCACCTCCAACTCTGCCTGACGCGGGCAGCACCCTGACCAGACAAGGTAAGAGCCAGGCAACTAAGGCAATCAGGGTTCGGGTCTCTGAGCGCCAAGTCCCCGGAGTTTGGGGACTGGTAGGGCAGGGGGGGTGTCTGTCCAAGAGTTTGGTAATGGAGAAAGGGAAAAAGAAACTAAAATTTTAAAATTCCAAGTTTTTGGAAAGGTGGAATAAGGGAAGCAAACTGGAACCAGGAGATGCCAGGCAGAGAGGGGAAGAAGGGACTGGCGGGGAGGGAGGGAGGCCTCTCCGACAGCCTACACGGGCGCTGGGTTGGGGTGCGCACCCCCACAACGCCATTAGTTCTCAGGGTGTCACAAGAGCCACTTGGTTGTCTCGGGGTAACTCCAGGGACCGGACTGGCCGTCTTTGAGAGCACTTGTTCCACAAGGCTGGTCTAGAAAAAACGGGATCTGGGAAGATTCCGAGCCACCTACTTCATTTCCTGTCATTTCTTTTCAGGTTTTGAGGAGTCGAGGAAGTGGGACGAGCACTGTTCTATTGTCTTCACTCGATCGAAGACAAGCCTCCCCGCCCCCCACCAGATCAAGTAGTTTGGACGCCACCCACCTGATACCTCGCGGCCCCTTAGATTTTCTGCGCACTTTTCATCACGGTGCGGGAGACGATTTCGAGTCAAGACTTTATTTATGAACCTTTCGATAGGATCTTCTAGTCTGATGGACCTTCTAGGAGCGACGATGTACTGTAATTTTATTTTAATGTATTTTGATTTATGATTATTTATTAGTTTTTTTTTTTAAAAACCATATTTGTTCTAAGACATTTCTGAATGAATGTAGGCCATTCCCCAAGAAAGACACTTGTATTCCAAAAAACCTATTTCCTAGTAACTCCTAATCTTGGAAGAGAAGAAAGGACGGTGGAGGGGAAAATCCATGCTTCCTAGGGCATTTTTCAGAAGGCCTGACACTTTCATTGTTATGCCAGAACATTTAAATTAAATTCTGTGAAATGACAAAAAAAGTGTTTTCCTGAAGTTTTCTTATTCATGTTTTAGGTAAAACAAAAGTTTAAAGGTGCCTAGAGGTTCACAGTTGTGTAATTATGAAAATCTAATGATCAAGATACTGCTTTTTTAAACGGACATCAGTAGTAATAATAATACCTAGCTTCAATGCCACTTAAAACATAAGTGGATGATTGAAGATGATCAGATTTTGAATAGATAAGGAGGACTGGTTTTACTCTAGGATAAATCATGTTGGGGGGGGTTACGAAGAATAGTCCTTTTGGCTGTAACTTTAAAGTATTAAGTGTTTTCTAATTTAAAACAGTGGTGGTGAGGCAGAGGGAATTCCTGTTTTTGAGAGAATATATGTGCCCCATCAAGACTATAGATTACCCTTCTTTGAAAGCAACAGCTTTGTACACCCCATTTTCCGATCCTTTTCCTTTACCCTAGAAGCACACTGAAGAATCTCTTCATTTAATTATGGTTGTAAGTATTTTGAAAGACCAGAAGTCGTAACTTTTTGTTATAATACTAAAAGTATTGTTTGTCAGGAAAACGAACTGTTTTGCTTTGTGTTGCTTATTAGAAATTTGAGAGTTACATGTTTTGTTTTCAGGATAGCGAAACTCAGATATTGAAAAGAGGAACACCTAGATAAACACTTGATTTTCTCTTAGGAAACAGCCCCAGTCTTGTTTTAGCAGCCACTTGTTCAGGAATCTAAAGGAATGAAAAGAGGATGTGCTTGTAAAGGTAGAACAAACCCTCTTCTGTTTTAAAGCAAAAGAATGATCAGAAACCACCAGGGCAGATGCTGCTCACATTTAAAACAAGCCATAGATGATATCAAGTCCTCTTGCCACTGAAAATCACTTCCCACCTGCATGGTTTTGCCAAAGGGTCTCTGTGTTCTACATTCTCTTTTTTCATATTGTCTTGGTAATAATTTTGTCAGCAGTCAAAATGGCATGATCAATATTAGGCCACTGTTACATGGTTCAAAATGAAAATAGAAATGCATTCTACAGTTACCATTATTCCATCTAAAAAGGAGTTTCAAGGTCAAATTATTTTTCAGTGCAATGTTTAAACAAAATTTTGAGGGCATGACTCTTACCCAGAAAGTTGTGGGACAAATCAGAGCTCAAGCAAATGGCAAGCAAAACCTCAATTGATTCCATGGTAAGTGGCTGTTTTAGGTTGTTTTCAGGATGTGAAGATTATAAAGATTTAAAAATTCATTATACACATACATATATGCACCTAGTGGGCTGTTTAGAGTCAAAACTAAATCACTCTTAAAAATGTGGTTCAGTTTCCTTAGAACTTCTGTACTTTTTGGAAATCTGCTATATCATATTGTAATATAAGAAATGCATAAATAAGCCCAATTGAAATAAATTTTCTTCCAGATGGAAGTTTTTCTAATTCCTATGCTGAAAAAGAAATCAAACCACCCCAAAACTAAGACCTCTACCAAATACTTTTAGGGTAAAAACATATAGATTCTTTAAAAAGCCATTTTTCTATTATTTGTTTACAAATAAGGAGATGGTATTGTGTGTGTTTAACATATGCACATGTATATGTCTATATTTCTAATTTCCCTCTCAGCTACCTACCAAAATGATTTTTCTCCCCAGCAGCCATGGGTCTTAATGGGATCACAGTATATCCTGGTTCCTTGTCTTTCCTCAACACCTGCTCCCTGGTCAGCTGTGATATTTATGTTGAGTGACTGTTGTGACTCTAGATCTGAACCTGTTATTAACTGTGAGACCCCTGAAATTAGAAAGGATGTATAATTTTTATTATGACATTAAACATTATTGTTTATTATTGTTATTATTGCCTTCGAGTTGAGCACGACTCAGCGAGCCTATGAAAAAAAGGCCTGAAGGCCCTCTACAATTATCAACATTTATCAAAGTTGATAAGAGTTTCTTGAGGCATGTTGTTTAGGAAGTGGATGCCACTCCTGCTTCCAAACCTATCATGGTATGTTATTGTTGTTATGTGCTGTTGAGTTGCCTGCGCTGTATAGCGACCTTATGAACCCTTCCCTGTCCTGAGCCATCTCACTAATTCCAACACACTAACCCCCATTGCCCCAGTTACTGTATCAATCCATCTCATCTGGGGTCTTTCTCTTCTACACTGTCCGTGCACCCTTCCTTCTCCAAGGACATATAATATTTTTTCCAGAGCTTGGAAAACCAGGCCCCAAATCAAAGCATAAATACAAAATAGAAATAATTTATTCTCTCAATGTGTCTATTCTACCTGCAAGACTATGATACCTGCCCTAATACACCACCTAGTACACTATGTGCTGGGCTTGATAAGTCAGTTTCAGGGGAAAAAAGATCAACATATTTTTTTCAACCCAGGAAAGAACAGAACAGAAGGGCAGGTCCCAGAGAAAACTCATCCTTTAAAGAAACAAAATGTACAAAGTTGGAAAATTAGATGGGAATGGCTCATCTGGACACTGCACTTTTATTCTTGCACTTATCTTGACACCAAGCCTGCTGCACAGTGATCTCAGTGACTGTTGGATGAATGACTGAAAGAAGGAAAGAATGTGTGACTCCCCGGTATCCAGCAAGTGATTGATTTCTCTCACTTCATTCAGTGTTTCCTTGCCCTCATGTCATTTTCTAGAACAACTGACGTGGGGCAAGCTAACGATTTTTCAGAGGTTCCTTAGATGTATTTTCTTACAATGGGAATTCATAGCAATTTGTTTCAGCCTTAGAAGGAATGCTGAGTTCAGAGAATAATAGTTCTAAATCTGTTGCCATGGAATCAATTCCTACTCATAGCAACTCTAAAAGGTTTCCAGAGCTGACTGTTACTGAGACAGACTTCTCCGGCTTTCTTCTTTGGAATAGCCAGTGGATTTGAACTGCTGACCTTTAGGTTAGCAATCTGAGCACTTAACTGCTATGCTAGGAGTTCTGCTTGTTATTGCTAGGTACCCTCAAGTCCAGTGTGACTCACTTTAGGAACAACAGATCTGAACCCGGCCCCTGTCCTGTGCCATTGCTGCAGTCACTGTTAATCCATCTGGTTGAGGGTCTTCTTTTTCACTGACCCTCTGCTTTTCCAAGCGTGATGTCCCTTTCCAAGGAATGTTGTTGTTAGGTATTGTCAAGTATGACCCATGTTAACCCTAGGAACAACAGATCTGAACGCTCTCTTATCCTTATCCTTAACCTTATCCTGTGCCATCCTCACACTTTCTGACACATTAGAGCCCATTGCGGCAGTCACCATGTCAATCCACCTGGTCGAGGGTCTTTCTCTCCTTCGCTGACCCTCCCTCTACTGTTCTGAGCATCATGTCCCTCTGCAAAGACAAGCCCCTCCTAGCAATGTGCCCAAAGTATGTGAAGTGAAGCCTCATCATCTTTGCTTCCAAAGAGCACTCTGGCTGCACTTTTTCTAAGACATAATCATTTGTTCTTTTGGCCATCCATGGGATCCTCAGCACTCTTCTCTAATACCACAGCTCAAAGCCATCAATTCTTCTGTCTCACCTTATTTATTGTCCAGCTTTCAAGTGCATAGCAAGTGATTGGAAAGACCATGGCCTGAATCAGACACACCTTAGTCTTTAAACTGATAATTGCTCCTCAATAATTTGAAAAGGTCCCTACCTGCAGAATTTCCCAGTGCAATAGGTCTCCTGAATTCTTGACTGCTGGTACCAAGGGTGTTAATTGTGGATCCAAGTAAGATGAAGTTGTTGAAGGTTTCAAACTTTTCTCATCTATCGTAATGTTACCAATTGAGCCAATGGTAAGATTCTTTGTTTTCTTGACTTTAAGATGTAATCCATATTGAAGGCTGTATTCTTTGATCTTTGGCAGCAAGTGCTTCATTCAAGTCCTCCTCACTTTCAGCTTGCTGAGCCTTGAATGTTGATTGGAAGTCAGTCTAAAGGAAGAAAAATAGTGGCAAACATCCTTTAATTGGAACATGGAATGCATGTAGTGTG